CCGACCGTCCCGACCGTCCGAACGCCGCGGTCGACCCGAAGCCCGTTTTGAAGCCCGTTTCATGTTTTCACGGCCCGGCTTAACCCTAAGCCGCCTCAGAAGACCTAGCACTATATATATAACTTTTTAGCCTCTTGAGAAAGAGAGCCGCCCTTGTATTTCGATTTCCTACTCTAAGTTTTATTGCAATCATGTTTTCTTCATCTCTATGTGTGTTTGCTTTGATCATGTCTGAGTAATCCACTAGTTAGGTTGCTAGGGTTACTATTCAATGAGTTGCTTGCATGATCTTTGATTTCGATGATTAGCTAGGGATTATATTAGAGTCTTTGTCTCGTCTTGTGCACTTAACTAATGCTGATTGCTTTACCGCGCATCTAGTAATCCGATCTTAGGTTGATTTGAGCCTCGACAGTGTTGTATCATTCGCCGGACATATTCTTTGACAAGCTAGGTTTCTTAGACTGCGAAAGTTGATCTACTATAATCTAGTGAACTGTATCAGAACCTATTCATTCTAAAGCTTGATTTAATCACCTAGGGACATACCAAAAGTTTAGCGACTAGGTAGATTAACAAAGGAGCCGGAGCCTCGAAAGTGGAATGGTTTTATATTCGTGATCTGTGTTCTAGACGGTTCTTAATATCCCAATATCCCTAATCAATTCATCTATCATTGTTTCATTGATCATTGCTTGCTTCTCTGCGATAGCCCCTATGACCTAGCGCTTTTCCTTATTGATTTACAACCTCGTTTACTTGCTAGTTCGGTTCACCATTACAACCTCAATCATACTTTTGTTTTAGCTTGATCCAAAATCCATAGTTTCAAAGTGTACTCAATAGCCAGTCCTTGTGTTCGATACCCATACTTCCGCGATCTGTGCACTTGCAGAGGTCTAGGAGTTTGGTAAAACCTGACTCAACATCAAGTATATTCGTTCAAGTGACAATGCAGCCGATCTTTTTATAAAGGCGCTTCCTACTACAGTATTCAAGAAGCATGTTCACAGTATTGGAATGCGTCGTCTACAAAACTTGTGAAAATAAAAGATTTTATCTTTTCCAGGGAGAGATTATGCTACGGTACTCTTTTTTCTAAGTCATAGTTTTTATTCCATTGGGTTTTTCTATGACATAGATTTTTTAACGAGACCGTACAACATTGACGATAATCAAGGATGAGTCTTAGAAGGATAATGATTATCCTATATCAATATTTTACTATTTACTTGCATTCTAAGTTTTTTCCACCGCTTCCTATAGTCGACTATCTCACATTCTCTTTCTCCTATAAATAGAGAAGCCATGTACCGAGAGATGAATCAATTGACAAGTTCAATAGCAAAAGAAAAACATTCGATAACCCTCTCTCTCACATAACGAAACTTTCTCTCACTCCATCTCTCCTTTACGTAACTCTCTCTCTCTCCTCTACATCTTCTTCTTTTATGGGTGATATTGCTCAATAGTCAATATCAATGGATATTGCAAAAATTAGGTAACTACCCATGACCAATTCTAAATTAGTTCTCTCTCCTAACAAATATCTTCTTTATCCTTTTTAGTTTAGTTATTTACATATAATGACATTCACCATTAAAACTAAGTTCTGATCAGCAAATTGGTAATTCTGTTAATCAAACTCCCGTCATCACTGTTCATCCAATATTCACCACCGCAGGAGAGAGAAATTCATCACCAAAACACTGTAGTTTTATATACTAAATATATGATAACATGCTAACTTATATTATATCTAGTTAAAAGTATATGATTATAGTAATAACTAAGTTATCGTTTCATTCAAGTATAAAAAATATTATTAAAACTATATTTTCTTTTACCAAAATTAACATGATAACAATTATAGTAGCATGATAACAAACATTCGTAGCATGTTAACAATGTTATCTAATACTGGTAACGTGCTAACATATATGTTATTCGAATAATATTATATCTAATCTTCTAAAAATGGTAACTTTTCATGATAACATGCTAATTTATATTATATTTAGTTAAAAGTATATGATTATAGTGATAACTAAGTTATCGTTTCATTCAAATATAAAAAACATAATTAAAATTATATTTTCTTTTACCCAAATTAACATGATAACAATTATAGTAACATGATAACAAACATTCGTATCATGTTAACAATGTTTTCTAATACTGGTAACGTGCTAACATATATGTTATTTGAATAATATTTATATATAATCTTCTAAAAATGGTAACTTTTCGGTTATCATGCTAACTAGTAAATGTTTCTAATAAATTTACAAACAAGATAGCACAATAACAAATTTAACATGATAAAGAATATCATGATAAATTTGTTACATGATAAAAAAAAATGTTAATTCAATTGCATTACTCACCGTTAACAATGTTACCGATTGTTAGTGTAATTATCGCCTTCTTCACAGCTACTACCACCATCATCTTCATCACCGTCAAATTCACCGCCATTGTTGGCTTGTTCTTCCTCCACCTCTTCTTCTTCTTCTTTCTTCTCTTCCTATGTTGCCGCCGTTGCGGCTTCTTCTTCTTTCTTCTCCTCTGAAATCATGAAAAATAATTTGAGATTCACCCAATTTTGTGGCTTTTGAGACATCCAATTGAAAAGAAAGAAAATAAATTTTGTAGTAGAAATTCACCAATTCAGACGAGATACCACCACCATCATCATCACCCCCCATTGTCACCGCCTTCTTCCACCACACCGTCGTCGAGTAACGCAGACATCGTCCCCGCTATCATCGTCGTTGTAATCGCTCTGATCATCACAATCACTATCACAACCTTCTGCCCATCATCACCGACTGGCGTAACATGCTCATCGCCATCACCGATTTGTTTTATCGTGTGCCAAATTCTTCTCCTTCTCTTTTTTTTAATCTCCGCAATCTTCTTCATACACCACCACAGGTGAGAGAAACCTAATGAAAAAAGTTTAATTAGTGAATTAATAAACACATGGGCAGTTATGGAATTTCTCTAACAGACATGTAGGGCCGCACAGTCCGCACAGTGTCAAAACATGTCAGTTAATATACAAACTATTGATGGGTAGTTTGTGCTATTACTCTTTTACTAGGGTTTGACCCGCGCCCTGCACGGGGTGATGGTTTCTGAATTTTTTTTTATTAAAATATTTATTTAAATATCTCAAAATTTTATGCCACGGATTTTTAACTTTTGTTAGATTATTGTCTTCGTTTATTCGTTTATAGTATGGAAATTAAGCATTTTAAACTATTTTTTAAAAAATAAAAAATTAAAGTTTTGATCGTAGTCCATATATTAAATATGATAGATTTAAAAGATACATAAAATTCAAATGACTACAAATATAATAAGATAGTTTAAAGAACAAAAAACTGAAAATAAAACATTATTCTTTTAGAATATTTATACATGTATTTCATAAGATAAGATAAGAAGTTTTAGTTGAGTGTACCGGATAAAACTAATTTTTTTTTTCTTTCAAAACTAAAACATGCTTTGTTATAATTTCAAAACAATCACCCAATAAGAAAACAATCTGCATAATCCAAGTTGTCAAAAAAAAAATAAAAATATAATTAACTTTATATTTAAAGTTGAAACAGATTGAGTAATATTCAAAATTTTAATCAAAATAAAATATTTAGAAAAATAACCTTTTTAATATATTTGATTATAGAATTTAATTAAAAACCATATTAAATGGAATAAAAATAATAATTTACTTTTGGATACCTACTAAATGAGGTTATGTACTAAACAATTTATATTATTTTTTTTTAAAAATTCAAATCATAGCATGTACAGAAAAAGTTTTAGATTTTCTTTATTAAATTTTGTATATTGTGATTCAAATTATTTTATAAAAAAAGTTAAATGAAGATAATAGGAGATATATGGTGATTTTAAAAGAAATTATTATGATAGAATTAAATTGAATTCATATCTTCCTTATTTACCAATTTTCGTAGTTGTCAATTAAGGAAAAGAAGAATGATATTTTTTATTATTAATAATTATATATATGATTAAAATATACATATTTGATTCTCTAACCAAAAATATGAATGACAATGTTTGTAATTATTCTAGTAAGCTAATCCTTATTTCATAACTAACCTAAGAAGCTCTCTAGTGATGACACATCAGCATGGACATTCTTGTTAATAACATCAACTAAATGTTACTTTTAAAGTGTTTTCTCTTTTAATATATTAGGGATTTATGGGTCTTTTAGCTCAATACCAATGGATGTTGCAAAAATTAGGTAACTACCAATGCATACTTGTAAATTAGTTTGTGGTAGAGAGAGAAAAAAATTTAGCCAAAAATATCCTTTTCATTTTCAATAATTACAGAAAATGCCATTGTCATGAAATTTTATTTTCTGATAGAGCAAATCGGAAACACTGTTCAACATTTTATTTTCTGCAAGCAAATCGCAAACACTGTTCAACATCTCATAAGATTTAATATACTGTTTATTTTATGCTAAAATGGTGATATATTATCGTAACAAAAATTATCAAGCTAAATAAGTTATCATATTACATAAAATAATGAATATAAGATAAGAGAATTAACTTGTTAGCACGATAACTTTTTCATACTAGCACGATAACATTTTATGAAATGTTATCGTACTAAAGGCGTTACCCATAAAATGTTATCGTGTTAAATTAGTTACCCATGAAATGTTATCGTGCTAAACTAGTTATCCATAATATGTTATCATGTTAACCTAGTTACCCTAAAATAAAACTCTAATGTTAACATAATTAGCATAAATTAACTTATCATACTAAAAAATTAAAATAAAAATATGTATGAGAACTAATGTGTTAACTCATACATTAATTTTCATATTCACATAATTATTATATCAAAAACTTATAATGCTAATTGAGTTATCATATTTTTAAAAATATGTGTTAAACAAGTTACCCATAAAAAATTATAGTGCTAAACTAGTTATTTATAATATGTTATCGTGTTAAACTAGTTACCAAACATAAAATACGAAACTTTGATGTTACCATTCTTAATGTAAATATCAACGAGTCAATTCCGCCGCCATTGCTGGCTTCTTCTTCTTCTTCTTCTTCTTTCTTCTCTTCCTCTGTCTCTGCCGTCGCTGGCTTCTTCTTCCTCCTCCTCTTCTTCTTTCTACTCTCCCTCTGTTTCCACCATTGTAGTTATCATCACGATCTCCGCCGCCAGATCTCCGCAGCCAGCTGCAGTCGCCGTTACCATCAGATACTTTACGATCACCGCCGCCACCACATACTTTCCTATCTCCTCCTCTGCTGCTGCTTTACGATCTCCGCCGCCGCCGCCGTTAACACCAGATATTTTAATTGGGTAATCCGAACAAAAAAAGCTTGATCTTTTGAATCCAGTTACAAGTTTCCATCTAACTTTCGGGAAAGCAGAATGAGCTTTGCTCCAATCATGGCTTCTTGCAAAGACAAATTTTCCTTTCTCCAGCTTTTGATTCCCACGAAAATCTTGTAAACTAATTTTCTTCTTCCTTCAGATTTGTTCTTTAGGTAAGAAAGAGAAACTTTCCACCGGAATTATCGAGATGGTGGAGAGAGAACGTGTGGTAAAGCTATGATTAAAGAAAAAAATACAGATAACAAGGAGTGTTCTGTAAATTACATTGCCAAAACACTGTGTCAAAAAAGGTGTCAGAACATTCACCTAATTTCCAAAATATTAATGGGTATCAAGTGGTATTACCCTTTATTTATTAATCAATCCACTGTATTTGATATAGTGGTACAGTTATAGTTTAGTTTCATAACACAAATCAGTAAAAAAAGAAATTCAGAAAATATTTCAAAAATTCAAAGTTCTTAATAATCTAAAGAAGACACAAGATGATTAAAAAGAGAAATTATAGAATAAAAAATATCATGTTGATCAATAATCATGATGATGGTGTCTACGTCCGAGGTGTTATATTTTGGAGAGACACTGAATACCACCAAAAATATAATATTGATATTTAGATGGCTAATTTTTTTTAGGTTTTATCTTTGTATTAAACAAGCATTACAATATATGAATTGTCTTATTGAGTATCAATGTTTTTGTTTCTTATGATGGAAACATGTACCTTTTTGGACCTGCTTGAAACTCTTCATATTCATAAGTTTAATCTTTTTTTTTAATATATATATTAACTTAAGATATATATTGACTTGAGAGGATATAGCTTTGTAACAAGAGATTAAGGCAGTTGAGTAAATCAAGATGGTTCACAATTTTTAGATATTTATGTGTTTAAAGGTAACCAAATTGGTGGTTATTGAGCCGAGCTATGAAGATAGAAACCTCAAGAACTCAAAAAAACTAAAAAAAACAATCAAATTGTCTATTTACTTTAATGTTAGACACATGTCACCTTCTACAACATGCTCTCGTGGAAAGACATGTGGCATTCTAAAAAATAATGCCGTGTCAAAACCGATGTCACCCTCTTTAATGCTGATGTGTAAAGCCAAAAAATCAACAAAAATTTTATTTCAAAATAATCTCTTATATATTAAAAGAGCAGACTTGCTGAGGTGTCAGCATTGCCACATTCTCATAGTTTTTTTAAAACAAGTCTTTCTTTACTAGACTATTTACATAATATGTCATTGTATTAATTTGGTTAGAGAATAATTTATATCAATTATTTATACAAATTTGAGCATTTAATCATAAAGATATTTTTATTCTTTCCTTGTCTTATCAAATAAATCAAATTAATTGTTTTCTTAAATACTATATTTTTTCTCATTTCTTGATTGGACTAAATTTTATAAAAATAAATAAATTACCACATAATTCATATATTAAAAATGTACATTTTCTTTTACACAAACTCTAATCTGATTTTTTATAAACAGATATCAATTTATATTATTTTCATCATTTTTTGAAAATGTACATTTTTTTAATATATTAAATATCTATATAAAGATATTAATAATTACAAATATTGTCATTCATATTTTTGGTTAAAGAATCAAATCTGTATCATTAAATTAATCATATATAGTATGTAGTTATTAATAAAAAAAATTATCATTCTATTTCCTTAATTGGCAATTACGAAAATTATTAAATAAAAAAAATATGAGTTTCAGTTTAATTATATCATAATAATTTTTTTTTAATTCATTACATATCTCTTGTCATCTTTGTTCACCTTTATTTTATAAAATAATTTGAATCACAATATAAGAAATTTTAATAAAGAAATCTAAAATCTTTATATACTATAATTTGAATTTTTATATATACTCTCATTTTTATTGTTCTTTTGGTGTGTGTGATATGTTGATTGAGAATTATTCTCATCTTATTTATCATTATCTTCTATATTCTCTATTTACATTCCATGAAATAGATGTATTGTTTCACCTCTACTTGTGGAAGTAGGTAGTTGATTTATTTATTCGAAATGTATGGTTTTTTCTTCTCTGCTTTAAATATGATTTTATTTTATGTATAGTTATATCTATTTGAAGAGTTCTTTTTAATATCTTTTTTGATATATAAAAAAACTTTGGGTTGGCTTTCGATCTTGTCTTCTTGCACGATTTGTTACATATAGAAATTCTATATTTTTGTTTTGTATTTTTAGACATTTTGTTTAGATTCTGCATATATATGATATTGTTTTGAGCTAATGTTTATTATTTATGAATCATGTGTTATGTAGCTGTCATATGATCTTAATTAATACGTGGTTTTCCTTTTTTTTTAAAGTTTGTTCTTATGGTATTTTTATTTGTTTCCTTTATATAGCAAATTATAATAATAAATTGTTTTATTAGTTTATGATTGTTTAGTATCATTTTTGAGTTTATTGTATATCACTAGTCTATACTATTGTATTTATCTATTATTGTTTGATGCTCGCTATATACAGTATGTTTAACTTTTTGGAATAATATGCGTTGGTTAATGCTGTGTAGTTGGATTATCACATTCTATATTAACTATGACCGTGATCGCTTAGGATTATCCTCTATTGCTTCTTGCCGTGTTTAATTTAGTGTGGAATTAAATACGTTTTCAGTTTCAGTTTATTTTCGTTGTCGTTTTGAGAAATATTGTTTTGATATATTAAACTCAAAATATATCCAGATACATTCAAATAATTGCAAATATATTTTATCAAAACGACAACTAATTTGAAACGGATGGAGTATGTCGTATGAAATTTCAAAATAGTTATATTTACATTATATGATTATAAATAAATAAAAATTCAGAAATCATCACATCGTGCAGGGCACGGGTCAAACCCTAGTTAAAGATTAAAAAGTAAAAAAATCCAAAAATCAGCAAAAATAAATTTTGGAAACAATATTTCAAAAACTAATATTCTTCAGTAATGTGAAGAAGACATGAAGTGGTGAAAAGGAGAAATGATAGAAAAAAAAATTATTGTCCAACAACCACAATGACGAAAATAAAATAAAATTTCTGTGTCTATGTCATGAGGCGTTATATTGCTCGCAGAGACATCGAATAGCATCAAAATTGTATTATACATTTTTATGGATGACCAAAGTTTTCTGAATTTTCACCTTTCAATTAAACAAACATTCCACTATTCCAATTGTTTTACTGATAATCAATGTTTTTGTACCTTTCCGTGAAAGAAACATTTTGCCTTCTTGGACCAGTTTGACACCCCTTAAGATTCATAAGTTCGAGAACAATTTTCTAATTTATGTATTAACTGGAGAGAGATTAACCTTGTAACAAAAAGTAAAGACGGCCAAATAAACCAAGGAGGTTGACAGTCTTTAGATCTTAAGTAATTTAAAGGTAACAGTGTCTATTGATCCAAACTATATAAAAGGAAAAACTTATGAAACATACATAACTCATAATCCAATCATCGATTTTCTTTGATATTAGATATGGCCACACCTCTCCACTGATGTATCAAATTCTGGAAAATGTTCTTATAAATTTCATGTAGTAGATTTATTTCATTATTTTATATACAAAATCAGATTATAATAATTATATGCGTTGGATAAAGACATTTAAAGTATTGAAAATCCCATCAAAATGTATGTTTGAAATCGGTAGGATAATATGGCTATAAATAATTCAGATATATGCAACGAAGAGTACAAATTTGACTTCAAAACGCTCCCAGGCACATCTCCCGAGGTTCGGCGCTCAGCTGTGTAGTCAAGTCACTTTCTTCCCTCGTATCCCACGCTTTTACCCAAAGTAGAAAGTTTTTCAAACGTTTTTAGCTTCTGAGCTAGCCTCACCGCGGTTCCGCCCCCACCTACGGGTCGGAGGGTCCTTCCTACCGGCGGTAAGTTTCACTCCTTTCTTCTCAAACGTCTCAGATTCTCCGCTCTTGCCTCACACGTTCCGGCACATTTCAAGCGAGCTAAAAACCGGAGACAACTTCTTCTACGCATCTCAAAATCTGCTTTGTCAACGACACCTATCGCCGCCTACATCGTTCTTCGAAGCAACATGGCAAGACGTTTCTCCTACGCGGAGAAAGGGAAGGCTCTCGACCTCGCTATGGCACCACCACAACGAAAACGCATCAGAGCTCCGGAGATGGATAAAACGGATCTGGTCCATCAAAACTCTCTCACACTTATCGGACGCCTCACCAACCCCCAAGAACAAAAAATGTGGACGATGATCCCTTACATCTCTAGCCGGTGGGAGCTCCGAGGAAGAGCGGTCGGATCCGACCTGAGAAACCACTGTTTCCAGTTCAGATTCGACTATGCAGACGATCTGCAGAAAGTCCTCAACAACAGACCCTATCAGTACGCAAAATGGATGCTCATCCTCCAAAAGTGGGAGCCAATCATTTCTCCCACCTTCCCGTCCCAAATACCCTTCTGGATCCAACTCAAAGGCATCCCTCTACATTACTGGAAGAAAGAGCTATTATGTGACATAGGCAAAGAGATAGGAGACTACAAGGAACAAATACTCACTAACCTCACGGCGAAAATCAAAGTCGAAGTCAATGGTCTACAACCTCTGGTAAAAGATGCTATAATCGAATTTGAAGGAGGTCAAGAAGCCCTAGTCGTGTTTGAGTATGAAAATCTAGGCAAACACTGCTCCTACTGCTACAGTCTAAGCCACGAAGTGGAACAGTGCCAAGAGAAACCGCTACAAGGCCCCCAAAAAGAAAGCTCTACTAGATCTACTGAGAGAGATAGACCCTTTACCTCTAAACCAGGGCAGGCGACGGAACAGCGCCCTTTCAACCTCCGTCGAGATCGACACGGAAGACCGTTTGGGGATAGACCGTCTTCAAACAGGAGTGAAAAAGAACGACCCACCGAGCACGACCGCTCCAGGAACCACACCGCTCAACCGCTACAAACAAGACAACGGCAAACACCAACTACTTCGCCAACCTACACCAGAAACCATCTGGACCCCACTTCTCAGCACCACCATCAAGACCAAATCGCGAACAGAGTAAACCAAGCCGGGGACCACCTAGAAGGGGCACGGAGACTAAATCATCTGAACACACCGACTCGCCAGGTCTGGAGAGAAAAACCACCAAGTCTAGTGGACCACGAGGACGCCTCCACTTCTCTACTACCTATTCAGATAACCGGTCGAAACCTGGATCTAGAAGCCTTCACACCACCCCACCGTATACGCTCAGAATCCGAAATCATGTCGTCTCTCCAAGAAGTCACAGTGCAGTATGCTAATGTCGAGGATCCATTAGAAAGAGCAGCTCGAATGCAGCGAATCCTAGAAGGTGAAACTAGAGGCCTTATGGCAGATACGGCGAGATCCATGTACACAGCTCAACTATCCCAACAAACAGCTCCCGTTTTGAACCAGAGAGAACAAGACCTGATCTGCTCACGAGAAGGGGAAGATGAATTAGCAGTCGTTCAGCGACCTATACAAACACAAGAGCAACCACGGAGGCCACGGGGCCGACCACCTACAAAGAAACCAACCCAGACCGCTCATCCCTCAGAGGCGGGGCCAAGTAAAAGGAAAGTGAAACAAGGCAGAATCTCACCGTTCTTACGAATTTCACCACTGTCGAGGACCATACAGAACCGTGCCTCTCCAGTAACCCACAACCATGGCACTCGACGAAGCAGAGTAACCCTCCAAAGAGGATCAACAGGACCGACACCACCGCGATCCCTACCGCCACCATCTACCACCATCGTCCCGGCAATCAGAAAAGCAGTGAGGAAAGATAAAGCGGATTTTCACAATCTGCGAGATCCTCTTCCTTAAAATTTTTGAGTTGGAACTGTTGCGGTTTGGGAAATCCCTCAACAGTTCACAGACTCAATGAGTTGGTAAAGAGCCACTCACCTGACATAATTTTCCTTATGGAGACGAAGAACAACGAAGACGAGATTCTCAGGCTGATCCCACTCACAGATTATGGGTCCATGCTGTTTGTACCACCAAACAGTCCGGGAAGCGGTGGACTCGCACTCTACTGGAAACAAGAGATCCCGGTTCAAGTCATCTCATCATGCAAATCCTACATTGATACATCCATATTATATAAAGGAAACCTCTTCTACGCTACCTTTATATACGGTGAACCAGACCACTCCTTGAGGAAAGAAGTTTGGGAAGAGTTGTCAAACCTGGGCAATCTACGAGATAAGCCTTGGTTCCTGACTGGAGACTTCAACGACATCATTGATAATACAGAGAAATCGGGTGGCCAACAAAGAACAGAAGCATCGTTTGGGAACTTCCGGGCCTTCATCTCTCAGAGCGACCTCTTTGATCTGCAGCACACCGGTAATTTCCTCTCCTGGAGAGGAATACGCTACACACACCTGGTGCATTTTCGCCTGGACCGTGCTATGGCCAATAGTATGTGGCTAGATAGCTACCCATCGAGTCGCTGCCACTATCTAGACTTCGAGGGATCAGATCACAGGCCAGTCTTTGCAGTCCTTCAACCTGAGAAAAAGAAGAAAAGAGGGATTTTCAGATATGACAGAGCAATGAGACACAACGCAGACATATCTAAGTTAATCGAAGTCACATGGAACAAATCAAGGGACGACTCAGTGGAAGTCAGGATATCAAATTGCAGGAAAGCTATCTCACGCTGGAACCGGGAAAACCATGTCAATAACCGGAAGGTAATAGAGGAAGAGAAAGCCAGACTGGAGGTGGAAATGAGTTCAGCGTCTTTAGACCAATCTCTGATACAAAACAGCACCAAAAACCTCGAGTCAGCGTATAGGAAAGAGGAAGAATACTGGAAGCAACGAAGCCGATCACTCTGGCTGGCCCTAGGGGATCAGAATTCCGGTTATTTCCATGCGATAACCCGAGGAAGAAAAGCGCAAAACAAATTCTCAGTCTTAGAAGAAAAAGATGGCCAACCTGTCTATGAGGAAGAAGACTTCGTCCGGGTCATTAGCTCCTACTTTCAAGACATCTTCATCACCAGGTAAACGCAATGCACGGAAACAGTCAACAGAGCGATTAAACCGTGCATCTCGAAGGAAGTCAATGCTATGCTTATAGCTATCCCCTCAAACGAAGAAATAAGAGCTGCCCTTTTCGCTATCCATCCTGACAAAGCCCCAGGCCCTGATGGTTTCTCTGCAAGTTTTTTCCAGACAAATTGGTTAGTTGTCAGAGAGAAAATAACATCAGAGATAAGAGATTTCTTTGTGTCTGGCTTGCTACCTACTTCAATCAACAAAACCTATGTCTATCCCAAAGGTGAAATGCCCTAAGACGGTGGCAGAGTATAGGCCCATTGCTCTATGTAATGTCTTCTACAAGATCATTTCTAAGCTTCTGACCAAACGCCTACAACCTATTCTACCAACAATCATCTCTGAGAACCAAACGGCGTTTGTACCAGGAAGAGCAATCTCGGAGAACATTCTAATCACCCATGAAACGCTCCATTATCTAAAAGGCTCAAAAGCGACAAAGTTTTGCTCTATGGCGGTGAAAACAGATATGAGCAAGGCCTATGATAGACTGGAATGGAATTTCATAGCTACGGTCTTAGAGAGGATGGGTTTTCACGCAAAATGGATTAACTGGATCTTCCGGTGTATTTCTACAGTGTCCTACTCATTCCTAATAAACGGATCAGCACAAGGTAGTGTCATACCTCAGCGTGGAATCAGGCAGGGAGATCCGTTGTCGCCGTTCATCTTCATCATTTGTGGCGAAGTCCTCACGGGCCTCTGCAACAATGCTCAAGTTAGTGGACTCCTACCTGGGATTAAAGTTGCAAAAGACAGTCCACGTATAAACCACTTACTGTTCGCGGACGATACGATGTTCTTTTGCCAAACGAAACATCAATGCTGTGATACACTCGTCTCTATCCTACAGCAGTATGAGACAGCTTCAGGGCAACAAATCAACAAACAGAAATCATCCATCTCGTTCTCAGCTAAGACTCCCCAAGATATTAAAAGCAGAGTGAAGCAAACGCTTGGCATAGAACAGGAAGGAGGCCAGGGAAAATACTTGGGCCTACCTGAAAGTTTTGGACGGAAGAAGAAGGACCTCTTCTCCGTGATTGTAGACCGCATTCGCCAAAGGGCAGTCCATTATGCTTCCAGACAACTCTCAACGGCATGCAAACTGACCCTTATCAAAAGTGTTCTGGCTGCTATACCAACCTACTCTATGTCAACTTTCAAGCTACCGGTGAGCCTCTGCAAGAGAATTCAATCCGCCATTACTCGCTTCTGGTGGGACTCAACGCCGGAAGTACAGAAAATGAGCTGGGTCTCCTGGCAAAAGATGACAAAACCCAAAACCTCAGGAGGATTGGGTTTTCGCAATATCCAGAGCTTCAATGATGCGTTGCTAGCTAAGCTTAGCTGGAGAATCCTGTCAAAACCAAATTGCCTCTTAGCCCGAGTCTTACAAGGGAAATACTGTAAAGACCAAAGCTTTCTAAGTGTTCTTACCTCCACTTTATCTTCGCATGGCTGGAGAGGAATCCTCATCGGCAGGGACCTCTTAGTGGAACAGCTTGGAAAAGCTATTGGTAACGGACAAGACACATCAGTTTGGCATGATTCTTGGTTATCCCACACAACACCGCTTCGACCCTTCGGACCGCCAAACCTACACGACAAAGATGCAACAGTAGCTTCCCTAATCAATGGAACAGCTTGGAATAAAGAGAAGATTGAAGAAATCCTTCCACAATATGTACCAGAGATTATGAGTATCCGACCTAGTCAAAACGGAGCCCCTGACCGCTATGTATGGATCCCCTCAAAATCTGGTGACTATACAGTCAAAACCGGGTACCGTATTGCCAGATCACTGAGAGACCAACCTGAAGACAACCACCAAACTACAGTTAACTGGAATGCAGATATCTGGCTCGGCCACTTCTCTCTAAAGATCAAGCTTTTTCTTTGGAAAATTCTTCAGAAAGCCTTACCTACTGGTGAGAATCTCCTGAACAGAGGCCTCTTCGATAATGTTTGTTGCGTTCACTGTGGAGAACTCGAATCAGACGAACATCTCCTCTTTCGCTGTGAATTTGCTCGGAAAGTGTGGGCTCTAGCTCCTTTCTCGACTACGGTGGATCTTACATCGATGAGTTTCGAAACCTCAGTCAACATCTTGAAACGCCTAACCTGCTTACCCCCAACGGGAATCAGCTCCGGACCCCTTTTCCTGTGGATCTGCTGGATGATTTGGTCGGCTAGAAACCACCGAATCTTCGAGAACTGAACCTTCACACCCGATGAAACAAATCTCAAATCCATCCAAATTGCTCGTGAGTGGCAGGAGGCGCAGATAACTGAGAAGACACTCCATCCCGCTAGATCGAACTCGAGCACATCGAGAAGACTACATCCAGAAACAAGGATAGCCGGAGCCGGCTGGATCTTCACCACCATTGACGGAACACAAATCGACTCCGGCAGTCTGGCGGAACCTTATGTGAGCTCTCCCCTCATGGCGGAAGCCATTGCAATCAGATCCGCCCTGATCCAAGCACTGGAGAGGAATTTCCTCCACCTACACGTCAAATCAGACGCTCAGGACTTAGTCCGAGCCTTAACATCGCATGAGAACATCAAGGAAATCTATGGTCTCCTTTTCGATATTCAATCTCTTGCTCAGTTGTTTACCTCAATCTCGTTTCGATTCATCCCGAGATCGGAGAATTCGAAGGCGGATTCTCTATCCAAAGCGGCTTCTTGCATGTTCACTGAGAATTTTGTCGCACCGCTTCTCTTTCCTCCGTTAATTAACAGTGTGTAATCGTCTATTTTCAATTAATGAAAAGTTGTTTCAAAAAAATAATAATAATTTAGATAAACAAAAATCATTACATAAATTAAACGCTTAAGGATCATATTGAGTTTGAGTATTATATGTAGTTAATTTATTTAAGTTTTTTTGTTGTTGAAATTTAAAGGACTTTTAGATAATTTGGATAATTTTATTGTTAAGAACATACTTCAAATTTATGTTGGAGTACTCTGATTTCAGTTTAAAGTTTAATTTGGTTCGGTTCAATTCGTTTGATTACTGTTTTTAATGATCTATCTTTGACTAAAACTTAAGAATGTTTTTAGAAAATAGAAAAAAAAATCACCTGCTGACATGTTTCTGAATAAAAATATCATTGGATTAATATAGTTTATTTGTAAGATAATTCAGAAAATAATTTCTATTTGTCTAAAGTTTTCTATATTGACAAAATTACTTAAACATGTACCTATGGTATCATCTCTCATATTTATTAAAATATTTTTTATTAAAGTAATTTTTTATTATTAAAACTTTCAACATGAAATTTCAAATTAGCAGCTGTGAATTTTAAAAAAATAAAACTAATAAAATATAATAATATCATAATTAATAAAAACAATTATATAAGCAGTTAATAATTAATTTTGATGGTTTATGGTTTTATATAATATTAAAAAATCATAATTCTTATATGATAAATTTTTATCTTAAGTATTTTTCTTCGATGATATTTTGTTCTAAAAAAAAAATAAAAGCATACTCTAGGATTGAGAGGGGATCATGTCATGATATTGGATGGGGCCAATATGGAAGACAATATCATATCATTATCTGCCTGCTTCATCAACTTATGCCTCACCAGTCACCACCTATGTCCACTTCCTTAATTGTTCACATCCAACTTAATTTTATACACATACGTAC